AAACTTGTGAGAGTATGAAAGAAATTTTGCAGACTTTATAATTAGTGCAAATGAGGCATTCAATTTGAAGCTCTACTAGGACTTGTTGACCTCATATAGCTTAGATCGACTTTCCATGTTGAGTTGTCAAGAGCTTTGTAATTGTGTGCAATTGAGATTGCCAATAGTATGAATTGGAAGAACCTTTGGAGTGAAACATATTCAACATTGATTGTCACGACCTTCCAAAATACTTATTTAATTCCTCGACTTCTTAAGAATAAACGGATCAATTGTTTCATTCTTACTCTTACCATTTAATTTAATATTTCTATTGGTATGATTTCTTGAGAAATAAATTAGACTTGTATAATATTAGATTTGTAAATTTCTAAAATTGTTTTGGCCCTTTGTCCTTCACCTTTTTTTTATTTCTTCCTTTTCTAATATATATACATTTTCTGGAGTAGCATCTTGCTACTTCTCTTCTTTAAACAAATCATAATGATTATCTATTCAAAATTTTAAATAATTTAAAAATTAAAAGATATATATTTTAGGAGGTCCTATTTACATATATTTTAATGAGTTTATAATATTTAATTTATTTAATAATAACTTTTAATTAACTGATTATTAATTTAATTTCTCTTATACACTAAACTATTTTAAAAATATAAATATATTAAATTTAACATCTAATATCAACTAATCATAACTATATTCCTCACAATAAAATTATAAAAATTATCTTACACTCGTTTTATTTTTCTATATATATTTTCATAGAACAAAATACTTTTGATTTTATAAAAAAATCTTTATATTATAAAAAAGAAACTTATTTCAAAAGTTCATTGAAAATTTATTAATGTTCTTTAAAATAAATTTCTAATTACAATAAAAAATATTATGATAATTTGTGCTCTTAGAACACATTAAGAAACTTAGAAGTAATTAAACAAAACCATTAATAAAAAAAATAAAATTTAAGTATTTAATATAATCAGTCAATTATAATAAAATTCAAATATATATTATTTTGTAGTAATTTTTTTTCTATTTAACTATTAAAGGCCAACAGTTAGTATAATCTCTAAAATTAATTAATTTTTGACAAAAAATTAATTAAAATGCAGTAACGGTGTAAAAAAACTTTGCAGAATTAGTTAATCATAAACTAATTAATCATAAATGTTAAATGTTGAGTAAAATTTTATTTTTATTTAAATACTTATAAAATAATGTAAATTGAAGATGGTGATGAATTGATAGTATTTAATAACTAATATGTTTAAATGCAATTTTGATCTTTTAAAATTTTTAATTGTTTAATTTTGGTTTTTTAAGTTTCAATTTTTTTATTTTGATTCTCAAAATTTTCTAATTATTTGATTTTAGCTCTTTAAATTTCAATTATTTGATTTTTATCTCTAAAATTTATCTCCTTTTATATTTGATAGTTTCTTAATAAAACGTAGATTAAACTTCTCTTTTTTATTTTTATTTTTATTTTTTATTTTTGTTCTCTTTTTAATAATTAAATTTTGAATGTAATTTCTTAAAAAATTTAAAATTTTCATTCAAAATAATTTTCTATTAAATATATGAATGGAATAATTAAAAATTTTAAGATATTTCATTTAAAATTTAACTATTAAAAAGAGAATAAAAATAGAATAACAGAGAACAAAAGAAAAAGTAATAAAAAAATAACAGAGAGAAAAAAGAAAAAGTAATAAAAAAAGAAAAATTTAGTCTACATGTTATTAAGAGACTACGAATATAAAATAGAATAAATTAAAAGAGTTTAAATCAATTAATTAATAAACTTTAAGCCAAAATCAAAAAATTAATATTTGAAGGATCAAAATCAAACAATTGAAAATATTTAAAAATCAAAATCAAACAATTAAAATTTAAGAGACTAAAATTAAATAATAAAAAAAACATAGAGAGACAAAATTACATTTTAACCTAACTAATATCGCCACATATATTTTTCTCTTAAATAGTACATTGTTTTATAAAATAAATAAATAAATGAATAATTGCATCCTTTGTGACTATCCATTTTACGCCCCCTCCCTTAACGAACGGAAAAATATCCATTTAATCAAACAACCTCTCCTTTCCGACACAACCCTAAAAATTCGAAAATGGAGGACAGTTTCATCATTTCATTATTGCCAGTAGCTAGTTTGTGTTAATAATGCCGTGCATGACTACGTGGGTCCCACATTTTCCTACACTCGTTGATAATCATCAACCAAACAAGACCCACAAGTGACTTCCAGCTGTAAAATAAATGGTATATCCGTAATTAATTATGCTTTTTATTTTATTTATAGTTTTTTAGTATTTTTAGATTCTTATACTTTATTTAGTTTTACTTATAAATAATTTTTTATTCACTAAATAAATAATATATTGGTCATCTAATAAATTTATTATATATATATATATATATATATATATATATATATATATATATATATATATATATATATATATATATATATATATATATATATATATATATATATATATATATATATATATATATATATATATATATATATATATATATATATATATATATATATATATATATATATATATATATATATATATATATATATATATATATATATATATATATATATATATATATATATATATATATATATATATATATATATATATATAATATATATATAATAGAGAAATATTATACAATTCTATCAATGAATACACCAAGATCAAATTTAAAACTGATCTACAATAAAATGTTAAGGTTTGAATCTAATTTATAATTTATTATAAGAATAATTTTTTTTTGTTTACGCGACTTTCTAAAAATCTGACCTAACATAAAAATCTATCTAAAAATTATTTTATATTAAATTTTTTTAAAATAATTAATTTTATTTATTTTTAAATATACAATTATGTTTTTTTATATATTATTTAACCTATTTTTTATTATATATAGTTCAATCCGTAAAGTTTCATAGATCTTTTTTAATAATTTAAATTTAATATATTTAATTAAATAGATTTTTAAAAAATTCAGAATATAAATTATATAAATTTGTATGATATATTTTCATCTTTACTTATTAAATTAGTTTATTTATTGATTATATATAACAATATTATATTGTAAAATAGTAATTAATATTTTTATTTTGTGCGATGCATTAGATAAATTATAGATAAATATTGAAAAATGAGAAAAGAAAAATTTAAAATTTATGTTGATTTAATAGTTGAAGTATATAGAAATTAGTAGTGGAATAATGAACTGAAATAATTACTATATTAAATAATATTTGCTGAAAAGAGAAAAGAAAATAATATAATTAAAAATTATTTAGACAAAATTTTATTTAAAGTTTAACACATAAATATATATTTTATTTTAATATATTAAGGATGTCGAATTTAATTTATTTTATTTATTCACTTTTAACAGAAAAATTGTAGCCTCCTTACAAAAATAATATGCAACATTACTGATAATTAATAATATAAGGTTAATTTGACAAATTTTATATAAAAATTTGGCCTAATAGATTCTTAATATTTTCTACACACAAGAAAATGTGTGAAATTGGAGTGATAACAACTCCAAGAAGGCGCATGTAGTTTGGGAGCAGGTCTACAACCCGAAGAAAGCTGGATGACTTAATATGATTTCTCTCGTGGAATAGAATCAGACTACTATTGTCAAAATGTCATGGAATCTAAATGAAAAAAAAAAAGGACAAATTGAGTATTAATTGGATACACCATTATTATATGAAAGGTAGACTGTAAGAAGTTTCAGCCTCTGTCCATAGCTCCCGGAGTTTGAAAATTTTGTTCAATAATAAAGACAAGCTGATGAATTCAGATAAGTGGAAAATATTCAAAGAGGCTCATACGTACAATACCAAGAGAGTATACAACATGCTGAGAGGAGACAAGACGAAAATGTGCTGGAGAAAGATTACCATGGGGAATTAGGCCAGACCCATAACTCTCTTTGTGATTTGGATGACTTGCCTTGGAAGACTCCTAACTAAAGACAGGCTGAACAAATTTGAGTTGAATACAGATGGACTGTGCGTGTTCTGTGGATTACAGGAGAGCATCATTCATTTATGCTACGACCGTCAGTTTGTGAAGAATGTGTGAAATCAACTGTTTGATTTGCTGCTTGATCACCAGTAACCGAGAAAAATCTTTAAAATGTAAAAGAATTAAAGTAACATTTGCAATCTCATTATTTTTTAAGGCAGATCTAAAGAGGAGCTAAAAATAAAAGACATTAAAAATAAAATTAGTATGAGTATGAAAAATATAAGCAGATCTAAAAAGGAGCTAAAAATAAAGACATTAAAGATAAAATTAGTATGAGTATGAAAAAATATAAGATGAAACATAATAATTATGAGAGGAACTCTTTGTAAATCTGTTTATGTGTTACTGTCTTAGTCTTCGTATAGCCTGAATCCTTTGATCAACGAACTTGTTTTTGAATTAATATATTACTTATCTTTCTCAAAAAAAAAAGTTGTGAAATTGACCATTAAAATAATTGAAAAAGAAAAACATTTAAAAATCTTGAATTTAATTTATTTTTCTTTGCATATTCATCTCTTTTCTTATCTAAATCTAAATATTTTTTTTTGCTCAATCACATGTAAACACCACTCTCTCTCTCTCTCTTGTTCCCTCCCTATACGAATATAAATTCCAAAGCGAAAGAGAAAAACTTCGAATTCAAGAGAGAAATTTCGGTTTTAGGGTTTTGTTTTTCAGAATCCCGAGGCTAAATCTCTCTTCAATTCATCACAAATTCCATACATATACATCGAAATTAACAATTACAATACTTGCTTTTGATTGATTTTTGAGAAATCGAATCATTTTTTGAGTAATTAGGGTTTATATAGAAAAAAAGTGAAGTGGGTTAAATCAAGTTAGCTTTTTTTTTGTGTGTGTGGTTTTGGTGAGTGGTTTGGAAGAGAAAAATGGCGGATGTGACACTGCATATATACGATGTAACGAATAGTGGATCGGAGAAAGCCAACAACACCATTCTTCAGATCAATAAGATCTTCAAGGATGGTATTGGTCTTGGTGGCATTTTTCATAGTGCTGTTCAGGTTTGGTTCTTTCATCACTCTCTTTCTCTTTTTAGATTTTTATGTTGATTTTTGGGATTTTGATTTGATTGGATCTGGTGGGTTGCTTTGTCTGCTTTTTTATGCGTGTTTGTTTAATTAAGAGCTTAAAGTTTAATTATTTCTCCATTTTTGTAATTTTTTGCAATTCTTGGCCACTTTTTTTTTTGTTGCTTTTGGTAGTTTTAAGTAGGTTAATTGAGAAACCTAAAAGTATTAAGTGTGATTAAGTGCATGCGTGTGTTTGTTGTAGTGTCAGCTCAGTCTTCCAATGTTGTGAAACGTAAAAGTACTCAAAGCTTGTGAAAGGTGTGTTGATGCCAAATTAAAAGCAATATTAATGGTCAAAACTTGGAGATATGTGTCAAAATTAGTTAAAAAAACATGTTAATAGACCTTGTCGGCGTTGAAAATCATCATTTGAGGCATAATCTTTTAAATTAAAGCATGGTTTTAAATTGCGGTTGCAATTCTAGGGTGTTGCGTTGCTATTGCGGTTTTAATTTGCGGTCGCCAATGCGGTCATGGGTGTTGCGATTGCGGTTGCTGTGATTGCGGCGTGAATTTTGATTGAGAAGAGTTTGAAATACACCGTTAGAAAATGCTTAATGTTATTCGAAAGTAAATTGAGTTTTTGGGTTCTAAATGGAAAAGTTTTCTTATGTAATTCCTAATGTGGAAGGACACGTGATTTCAAATCACACCGCAATTGCAGTCCGATGCAGTTGTGGAGACTGCAGCATCAACAATATTGCGGCCACAATTGCGGTTGCGGGTTGCAATTTAAAACCATGAATTAAAGCATTCTTCTCATACTTTTTGCTGTCTTTTATTATGAGGAAAATGATAAACAATCAATAAAGCATTCATTCTTCTCATGCTTTTACAGGTTTATGGAGAGGATGAATGGTCATTTGGATACTGTGAGCAAGGTACTGGGGTTTTTAGCTGCCCTTCTGGACAGAACCCAATGTACACATATCGTGAATCCATTGTTCTAGGGAAAACAAACCTTTCCATTTTCAAGGTAAATCAAATATTGAGAGAACTCAGTAGAGAGTGGCCTGGAAGTGCATATGATCTGTTGTCCAAAAACTGCAACCACTTCTGTGATGAATTCTGTGAAAGGCTTGATGTACCAAAACTTCCAGGTAATTATTGAGCTAATGTTGCTTTTCGGTGTGCATTATCAGTTTTAAATACTAAAAGACGTCCCTGTAGTATTTGGGAATGTGCACTCTCCAGAAAAGGGTTGTCATGTACATTCCGTTTTTTTGTTACTAAGAAATACGGAAGTTGGTGCTGTGTAGAGTTCCATAACTGAGTGTCCCTTTCAGATGATAAAAGATTTCCCTATGATGATAATTTTAGTAATCTGAAGGGAGGAGCGTTGGTGTTCACTGTTTAAAATCAAAATTAGGACTCCCTTTTGTAGTGAACAAAAAGGTTGAGAAACCCATTTGGTTTTTGTGCCATGCTCCCTCCCCAGTTGATACTTGGCATTCTGAGGGATCTTTCTCCAATTTCGTAGTATCAATTTCCCCATTTCCCCTCTTCTAAATCTATTCAATTTGCTCAATAATTATCCGAGGACTACTTTATGATATGCTCAATAAATTAAAAGAAACATTTAATAACTTTCGATTTTAATGTGTTGAATGCTTGAATATTCTATTGTAAATTGTATGTTGTGCTGCCCTCCGCTACATCCACCATTGCGAATTGGAACCTGGTGTACGATTCTAGCTCGGAGAGAGTGTTTTAGAGAACTCCTGGTTTGGAACCCACCCGAGTTCGCTGTCCTTGTCTCAACCTATTACCTAGACAATTTATTCAGCTTAATTTGACAGCTCGACAACTATGTAAACACTTCCACTTGACCCTTTTTGTCGTGTTTCTTCCCTCATTTGGCTCTCTGGCTTGTTTCGATTACCGTCAACTTGAAATCACTAGCAGTGTTTGGATTTTGATAGTCTTCTCACAAATGAAGAAAATGTGTGCCTATGTTTTCTTTATTTACCCGAGTAAACTTTTAATTCTTCTTAACCTATTGTAGTAGGTAAAAAAAAGAGGTCCCTGCTTGGGCCAAGTGTATATTAGGGGGACCATAATATTTAGTGCTACATCATGTAAATTCCTTGGTACACTGGATTTTACCCTTAAAATTTCTGTTTCAAATATTGTTTATCACATTATAATATGGTGATACTTATCATTGATATACCATTAAGCTGGGTTGTATATGGTAGAAATGTACTTGGCTATTATTTTGCTTTAATAAGATCAAAAGTGGTGTTGGATTGAATTACAACTCTTGCTGTCTTGTGAATATAGTGCGAAGTTAGGAAATGATCAAGCTGAGTTAATTAGTGTTATAGGACAGGGCGAGAAATGCGAGAACATGGAGAGTGAAGTTAGGTGGATTCAAGACAGAAAATGCGTTGCGTTTTAGAGTAGATAGTAGATTCATTATTATAATGTGCCAATACCCATTTCAAATTTATATGTCATGTGACTGATGTTTAAGCAGCATTGCGTTATTTGAATGATTGCTTCTGGACATTACTTTGTGGCTTCCACCACACATTCTTAAAGCTTTCATTTCATGACAGGTTGGGTTAATAGGTTTGCTAATGCTGGTGATACTGCCATGGAAGTTGCGGAGAATACGGCATTACGGGTGAGTTATGAATTTCAAAATGCTCTTATGGTGCTGTTATAAATTATTTCTTCGAATTGTCTTATTGGAACCTGGGTTGTCATTTTGTTTTGAATACTTTAAATTACACAGCTGTTAGTTATGTGCTGTAAAGCTCTAGGTACACCCAAAATTGCTGAAGTATTGGTGTTATATCTGTATGTATCTGCCTATGATAGTCCTCTACGTGTGCTTAAGGAACGCCCTTCAAATTTTATGATATTTCAAAATAAAATTATTGACTAATATGTTTATAAGGATACATCATTCATATTTTGATATACAACTCCTAATATTTATAATTCTACGAGCAGAAAAGTGTGGCACATACTCCTATTTATTTTTTGAGGGATATAAAAAATATGAGTTATAGATGTGGGATACTGGTGGCGATGTACATGGTACATACTCTTCTATTCATTTTTTGAGGATATAAAAAATACGAGTTATAGTTGTGGGATACTAGTGGCGATGTACATGACCCATCACTGTTGTTCGTGGCCAAACTACAATGGCCACTGATCTAATTGTACAGGGTTGTCTCTCGGTGAATTAGACTTGGAAGCTATGCTTTTTTGGATGATGAGAATTTCTGAAAATGATACGATTTGCATTTAGACAATAAATAGGAAGTAATTTAATGGAGTCATGACTCATGATTTGTTTCAAATAGGACTAGTGATATTCTTTATGGTTAAGTGAAAGGTATATGTCATATGTGTATACTTTGTTATGAGATCACAACTTCACAAATATTTTTCTGTAGTTGTGTTCATAATAATCTGCATATTATTATGAATTAATAAAAAAATTCAATGTCTCTTTACAAATATTATACATTTATGTAAAATATTTATATCTTTTATACCATATCTAGGTCATATACCATATCTTTGGTTTTAAAGAATTTTCAATATTCTTGTATAAACACGTACCCGAGTTGTATCAAGAGGACGTGCTTCATAGGTTATTAGCATTGGCATTGTGACAAATTTTGAGAAAACCTATGCACTAATGATACTACATGGATGTTGCAGTTCCGGCAAGCAAAAACAGAGATTGTATCAGCGAGCAAAGTGGCATACAGGTTCCTCCTAGGTGTTACAAACAACGTCACTAACAATGTTACAAACAACGTTAGAACAGGTCCTGATTCCCCCAACAGTTCAAACAGTGGAGTATCTTCCCCGAGACTTCAAGCTTCTTGGTTGAAAAATATAATTACCAATGGTGCAAAACCATCCACTAGTTCAGAAGCTGAGAATCACAATGGGGTTGCTCCATTACAACCAACAAGAGAGGATGACAAGGCCCTGCTACGTAGTTCATCTTCTCGTAGTTCATCGTCTCGTATCGATAGTTGATGAACAAGAATCTGTGTCAAAAATGCTTAGATTGATGTGTATTGTGTACTATTTTGATAAGTCACAAAAAGGAAACAGAATTTTTCATGGTATTCATTGTGTATCAAATGTATAATTTTCATTTGTTGTACAATTTCAAACCTTATTACTGGTGCCTGATGAAACTATTGTTCAATGAAAAGGTTATTGTGTAGTTTTGTCTTTTTCAATATGTGAATTGGCAATTTAACAGTCAACTTCAAATGTAGCTTTGCTGCCATTGATCCAATCATTCTAGATTGTGAAATGTTAATGAAAAACTTTGAATCTGTGTTAGATAATCATTTTAGTCAGAGCTCATAAATTAGTAGGTTTATCTATGACTATGAGTATTGGCTCCAAAACTTGGTTGGGATCTCTCCCACAACAGCTTCAAGTTGATCTAATTCCTGTATCTTTTACCGTTTGTTGAATGACGAGTTTACCTATAAAAAAAGAAGAGAATAAGGGTCTCTATATATTCTGTAATTCTTAATGTTCGACTTTTTCAATTACTCTAACATGTTTGGAACAAGAGAAGTATGAAAGAATGTTCAACTTTTTCAATTACTCTAACGCTATGTTTGGAACAAGAGAAGTATGAAAGAGAGTAAGGTGTGTTTTTCAGTCATGCCCTTGTCTTTTGTTGTGAAAGAATGTAATTCAAGTTGGTGTATCTGTCGGTGTAACTGGTTGCCACCCCTTTCAGTAAGTGAAAGAATCAAACAAAATGAAGTTGTAATTGATTATAGGTTTAGTGTAATCATTTACCACCTTTTAATTTTCAGTATTTTTGAAACAGTAGTTTCCTGTAACTGATTGCAGGATTGGTGTAATCGGTTACATAATTGAAAAATTTGTTTTTCATTTAGTTGGTTAGCTACATTATATTAGGTCATTAATGAAATATCACTATTTTTCACACTAATTTCCTTTAATTCTCACGTTCTCCATATTTCCATGTTCATCATTTTATTTTACGATTGGGGTTTTGCCTCAAAATTTGACTGGTTCTTTAATCAAACACTTAGTATGTGAAAATGCTTTCCATCTCCATTGAATGTATCTTTGCAAATTTTCTAATTCTCGACGCGAATAATTATGAGAAGTGGTGTAAATAGATGAAGGTGTTGTTTAGTTATCAAGATATTCTTGAAGTGATCAATAATGGTGTTAATCCACTTGTAGAATGTGGAACAACTGTTATAAGAACTACGCACGAGAAAGAGAAGACGAAAAAAACTTTTTATCTCATTCTTCAATATGTTGATGCTGATAATTTTGAGAAGGTTGATGACTGCACACATTTTCAAAGCAAGCTTGAGAAATATTGGAGAAAAGTTAAGTAAGAACTGATAAGGTAAAAGTGGCAACGTTACAAACTCACAAGAGACGGTTGAAATTAATTAAAATGGAGGAGAAGGAAACCATTAGTGAATTTACTACAAAAATCACAAGATTGGTGAATCAAGTGAAAACTTATAGAGAGATATTCTTTGAGTAATATGTGGTTGGTAAAATCTTGAGATTGTAACGTCAAGATTCAATAACGTAGTGGTTTCTATTGAAGAGTCCAATGATCTTTCAACCATGAGTAAAGAAGAGTTGCAAAGTTTCTTGAGACTCATGAGCAGAGAATGAAGGAGAGAAATATTGACAAAGCAAAAACTGAAATTGCTTTGCAGGCCTATTTCGTTGGAAAAGACAACAAGATGAAGGAAAATGGTCCATGACTAAAGGTAGTGGAAACTACCATAAAAATGGTTGGAGAGTCTCTACAAAATTTCAACAATTCAACATTTTAAAAGGGTGAAAGCAGCTACAACAAAGGTGGTGGATCAAACAATTACAAATGTAACAAAAATAAAAGAAAAGAAGGAAGAAGGAGAGATGATAAGAGTAACTTTCAATGCTACAATTGTCAAAATCTTGGACATTTTGCTCGTGAATGTAATGTCAACAAGAATGATCGACAAGAATCTGAAGAAAAATTTGCAAGAAAGAAGATGATGAGAGCCTACTGTTAATGTTGATTGCCGAAACAGAAAATATCACAAGAAAAGGCAACCATAACTGGTTACGATATATTGAAAATATGATGGTGACTATGCGAGAAGATGAATAATACAACAGACAATGGTATTTTGACTCCGACTGTTCAACTCACATAAAGGGAAGGAATGTTTGATTTGTAAAAACCAATCAAGCATTGAAAAATAAGGTGAAATCCGCAAATGACATCACACTAGCAGCAAAAGAGATTAGTGATGTCTTAATCAAGAAGAAGAATGTTAAATATTCATTGATTAAAGACATGTTGTATATATTGAGAATCAAGTGTATTCTTTTAAGTATTATTCAATCGCTTGAAAGGAATTACAAGATTCACATAGAAAATAAAAATAAAGTGCTAAAAGTTATGGATGCAAATGAGAGTTTGATCCTAAAGGCCAATATGGATCAAAATAGAACTTTCAAAGTTGAATTGAAAGTAATGGACATATGTGTCTTGCAACGACTGCTAGTAGGAAAAAATTGATATGATACTATAGAATTAGGCATTTGAATTTTAAAGAACTCAATACTATGCCAAAAAAACATGGTTATTGGACTGTCATTAATTAACATGCCAACTGAAATATATGAAGTGCGTGTGCAGACCATCCAACACTAAGACAACTTTAGCAAATAATATATTGTCTCACATTTTTATTGTTTCAATTATATCATAGGGATATTGAGACATTTTTAGAGAAGTTATGCTTCAATCAAACATTTTCTTTGATGATTTTCTATATAAATACTTTTGACAAGAAAAAAAGGAATAAATTTTGTAAGTAAACATTTCCATATTCAATCACTTACAAACTATAATGATTTTATTATGTGCATTATGGTTATATCAATCTATATATAATATCATGTTTTATTTATTTATTTTATTTATCTTATTTATTAATAATATTAATATGTTTATGTTTATTAAAGTAATTATTTTATAATGAAATTGTCAAAAGGCGAAGCTAAGCAAGTTTTGGCGTTGAGAGTAAAGAGAGTCAGATGCAAAGATAATCAACATCAAAGGAAATGAAGTTTCGTGAAAGCTCACTTGATCATGTGTTTTAATGTATATTTATCTGTTTAGAATCAATAATGTGTAATTAAGTGTGGATAGTTTTCAAGATAATAAGAAAGTGCACACACACACTCAAAATGTTTCACAAATCTTCATCAAATTGTGTTGCAATTGTAAATCAAGACCTTAGTTCTCATGTAACATTGTAAGTGATATAAAAGTTGTAAGCTGAAAATGATTAAAAGATTGATGTAAGGAGGTTATGGGTTGATCGTGGTGTAAAAATTCAAGCTGTTAGTGGAAATCTTAAAAATAACTCTTAGGGATTGGACTAGATCAGATGGTTTAAGGTCGAACTAATATAAATTCTGATGTGATCTTTCTAACCACACTCTTTTAAAATTCTGCATTTTATATTTCGCGCTTAAAGCTCTGCTTCTTTTTTTTTTTAATTTAAATTAACCAATCTTAAAATCAATCTTTTGCGAAAAAGTTTCTAAAAATCATATAACACAATTCACCTCGCTCTTGTGTTTGTAGTCACTTGGTCAACACATTTGACAATACTAAACCATACACATATCAACAAAATTTCTCAAGCATTGAAAATATTCAGAGAAGTTCTTAAATGTCACCCCGCCTAAAGCTCGAGGCAAATTCTCTTCAAATCACTCAAACCTAAATGTCACCACAACCATGGGCTCTAGAAAATTAACCAACCCAAATATTGATACATTTTCATTATCAACCCAAGGCTAGTTGAGAAACTTTCTCGAGCCAACTCTTCATTATCAAACATTAAGTTCTAAATCTTCACTTCCTCATATTGACGACACAGGGAAATTTGTTTTAGATTTGCCCTAACACAATCCATCATTTGAAAATCTAAATATCAACCCTCATCTTCAACGGTTGACACAAACAAACGTAGAGACAATAAATCTAGCATCGGGTGATGAACTCGGGAGTCATAAATTTTTATAATCTTTATCATCACTTCAATCTCTTTAAATTACATATACAAAGGCCTTAAAATCAGAGTAAAAAGTATACATTTTTTTATCCTAATATCCCGACTTCTTCTCTACTTATTAAATGGAGCGTCAAAATGTTTTCGAATACCACCTGCTGTCGCCCATATCTATTCTAAGGTGTTTTCCAATCTACTCACCACTTTGATAAATCATTCACCTAAATCAAACTCAACAAATCGACTTAATACATATTTGCGATTACTATGAACTAGAGCTTCTAAAAGAAAAAAATAAAATCAAACTCAATAAGTAGAAAAATTATTGATTATAACAGCATACTACACTTTATGTTTTAAAATAATTATGTTATCATACACTAAATCTAAATCATTATTATAGTAACTTATAAGTAAATAAATAAAACCAATTTTACAATTAGTTTTCTAAATTTTGTAAAATAAAAATAAAATTACTAAAATATTATTATTTCACGTTCTACTCCCAAATGCTCACACTAGTTTCTTCTCTCTCTCAAACCCTCCCATCTACCAATGCTATCACTCCACCACCACCTCCCCGGAACCACCACCAATGCCAACCTACAATTCCCTCCAACCACCCATCTCCGCCATTCAACCCCATTCCCGAAAACCCTAACCCTAATTCCCCCTAAACCCCACCTCCCTCCATTAACCCCCAAAGCCCTCCTTCAATGGAACCGCAAACCACAACTCTCCGGCGAAACACCGCGTGTCGTCGTCGTAACATCCGGCAAAGGAGGCGTCGGTAAAACCACAACAACCGCCAACATCGGCCTTTCATTAGCCCGGTTGGGTTTCTCTGTCGTAGCAATCGACGCCGACGTCGGACTTCGTAACCTAGACCTTCTTCTAGGTCTCGAGAATCGAGTCAATTACACCGTTGTCGAAGTTCTCAACGGTGAATGTCGACTCGATCAGGCTTTGGTTAGAGATAAACGTTGGTCCAATTTTGAACTTCTTTGTATTTCCAAACCGAGATCTAAACTCCCTATTGGGTTTGGTGGAAAAGCCCTAACTTGGTTAGTTGAAGCTTTAAAAGCCCGGGGAGACGGAACCAGTGGAAATGGAAATGGTTCCACTGGTTCTCGTAGCCCGGACTTTATCCTCATTGATTGTCCCGCGGGAATCGATGCGGGGTTTATAACCGCTATCACGCCTGCGAATGAGGCAGTTTTAATAACTACGCCTGATATAACTGCTCTTAGGGATGCTGATAGAGTAACTGGGTTATTGGAATGTGATGGGATTAGGGATATTAAGATGATAGTGAATAGGGTTAGGACTGATATGATTAAAGGCGAAGATATGATGTCGGTTTTGGATGTTCAAGAAATGTTGGGGTTGCCTTTACTTGGTGCTATACCTGAGGATAGTGAGGTTATAAGGAGTACTAATAGAGGGTATCCTCTTGTTTTGAATAAGCCTCCTACTTTGGCTGGGTTGGCTTTTGAACAAGCTGCTTGGAGACTTGTTGAGCAGGATAGTATGCAAGCTGTTATGGTTGAGGAAGAGCCTAAAAGAGGGTTTTTCTCATTTTTTGGTGGTTAAAGTTCAATTGGGTCGTTTTTCCGTTTTTTTTTCATTAGGTGCAAGTTTGTAATGAATGATTTTATGGTGTCTGAAGAATGTTTTTTGAGGTGAAGTTTGTTTTGATCTGTGTATAGTTCAAATTAGTAAAGCTTGTTTTCCTTCTTTAATTTGTTCATTCACGATTTATTTTTACTTTGGTAATGTAAGGATTAGTTCTATCTGTAAACACCTCAGGTGCTGATTTGTTGCCATAGTAATAGTACAATGTTGTAGATGGTTTACTTTGGTATTTTATATTGTGGTTGCAATTGTGTTGTAGTTTGCAATCATGGTTTTATGTGGAAGCAGGATTCGTGGTTACATAAAGTGATGCTGTCCATGGTTATCAGTATCTCATGATTCGAAGCAAATTTTGAAACCAATAAGGTAAATAATTAATTTGGAACAAATATTGCAACATGGATATTGATTTTGAAATGCCATATTTTTATTTTATTGTCATGTAGCTTACATTTTAATAAGATTTGATACACAATATAGAAAACATGTATTTTAATTCACGATTTGAATCTTAATTCAATAACCATGATGCATTTTGCAATTTGAAAGTTATTTTAGTGTGTGGCAATGGGTGCTGAAATGCGTGGTCAATAAGAAATTACACACAGGAGGTGTAGGTTTGATGTTCACTTGAGTATGTTCATTGCTAAAACTTTGTGAACCGAGTTGGGTTTATGTTGTAGACGGTTCAACATAGGATTTTAAATTTGATCTGCAATTTAGCTGTTAGATGCAGTCCACAATCATAATTTAAAATCATAGTTAAATCAGCAACAAAGTTTTGGTTTTAACTAATTTGTGAACCCTGCCTTGTTTTTCGAGAAGTGCTGACATGTCAAATATACATTCTCGGGTTTATGCTAGTTTGTAATGGTTTTGTAGTGTTTAAGGTTGTTCAAATGCACATGTAATTTTTTGATATGTGGTTTAACCTTTGTCTATATGGAAGCTTTGTACTACTGGGGTTTGTAGGGCGTGGTTCTTCTTCATATTGTTCATTTGAAGATTTCTTTTCTTTTGTTAAGAGTCCCACATCGGACAATATATGGCCTGAACATGTGTTTATAAGTGGGGGCAATCCTCACCCTACAAGCCGGTTTTGTAGGGTTGAATTAGGCCCAACCACATCTTAATATGGTATCAGAGCCTCGTTTAAGATCCAGTGGGCCATCCACCATTTATTTCCACGCTCCAGTTGTCTAGTCCTGGGCGTGAGGGGGTGTGTTAAGAGTCCCACATCGGACAATATATGGCCTGAACATGTGTTTATAAGTGGGGGCAATCCTCACCCTACAAGCCGGTTTTGTAGGGTTGAATTAGGTCCAACCACATCTTAATATCTTTAATTGATTGGGACATTTATTGTGTTGGTGTTAGGATGAGTGTTAAGTAAGATCTTGAGATTAATGATTTGGATAGAAGCATGGTCCTTGATAGAATATTATTGCAAAAGTTGATTTATGTAGCCGACCCTTCTTCGTAGTATAGGGCTTTGTTGTTGTTGTTTGGTGTTTGGATGAGTGTGAGTAACACATGAGATTAATATTTGTTGCTATAATTCTCCCTTATGTTGTTCATATATTAGTAGAGCTTAAATGTGCATATTAATTTCTGAGGCTGTAAACTCTTTAACATTGACACTTCTGATAGAAGAAGCCGTATCTGGTGTCCAACACGTGTCCCTCTATTTGAGGCAACAAAATTCACTATTTTTATTTTTGAATTTAACTACTACATTGTTGCCCTCTTCACAAGCACAATGGCTTTGCAGATCTGTCCCTTTGTCACCCCGTTAGCTTCTTTTTTCTGTCATAAGTTCTGTGGCTGTTTCTTGCTCAATCTTTGTCGCAAGCTTCAATCTTGTTTTATATTCTGTCAAGTGGTATTCTTTGTGTTTGAAGGGTTGTTGATTTGAGTTCCCTTACAACATCACCAACAGTAGTTATGTTTGCTTGCTGTTTAAGTTGGCTGTGAGAATTATCCTAAGGTGCAGTGAGTGATAGGGAGAACTTGCAAGAAAATAGTCTCTGTGGGAGGTTGAGTACACGAAAAGAAAATGTTAGTGTAATCTATCTAATGTAAATAATAAAATAAAATAAACGGTTGGACAAAACCAGAAGCCAAGTAATAAGAATAAAAAAAGGGGCTGATGTGGTTTCACATGTCTTTATAGGTGTGTTTGAGGGGCTGTTGCTAGCATTTTCTTACGTGTAATTGAATGTATAAGCACACACTATTTCTAGTATAACTAATGTTTTAATTAATGTAAACTATGTTAGCTTCTCACAATTATTTATATAGCGGGATATGATTGGATGCAAGTGTAATATTTTTCACATTAACACTTAATTTAAAACTAAATTCAGGTTTTATTCTTCAATTGAATTAAGTTAATAATTTATAAAATTTAAAAGATTATGTTAAATTATCTCCTTATATAAAGTTTAGAAATTTAGTAATAATATAATTAAAAATGTTTTTGTTTTGAAAATCACATAAATGTGATGGTGGCCTGACCTGAAATCCATTACTGACTGAACTCAATTTAAAATTGGGTTTATATTAGTGGTTGTTCATTACACTTAGTATTTATCATAAATTTTATAAATGTTTGAAAATGTCTTTTTTTTAGAAGTTATTTTTTGAATGTGCCATTACTTTGTTGCCCATCTGATTTAACTTAAAAATGACTAAAATGATGTCTTTGGAAGTTAAAAATCTAGATACTATTATAGCAGAAAATTCTGAAGATAATAATAGAGCATCCTGTATTACGGCGACATGTGAAACCAATTATACCAATTATACCAACACATCCTCTAATATTATTTACCTGCAGAACATAAGCCAAAACTTTTGTAGATAAATCCAAATATGCCTTTTTATTTTTAAATAAATTCAAAATTTTAAAGACATTTCTTATTCCACCTCATACTCAAGAAATGTCCTACGTAATTTTTAAAATGTTCCTTGAAAATTGAAAATGTATTTTCAGTGTGTATTTTTTTAAGTTATACTTATGCAAAATCAGAAATGCATTTTCAGTATAAATCCAAAGTATATTTTCGATTTCTAAATAAGTACAGATCTGGTTTGTAAAGTTTGTTTGTGTTTTCTTGAAGCCTGAAAATTTTTGATAGATTAAAATTTTAATTTCTTTATTAATAATAGTATCTTTAAGATATTTGTTATTAGTATTCTCACTTTCTACATTAATTGACTAATGGATAAAAAAAAAAGAAACGGGAATTTGACTACATCTCACTTATTTTTGTCGATGATTCTATGTTACAGTTAAAGATCTCTTCATTAAAGTTCAAGCATTTTAGGAATCAGAAATACATTTTTGATTTTTATCAAAAATGTATTTTCGATATCAATTTTACCGTAAAATTAGGCGAATATAAAAAATAAATGAATTATATGTGTGTGTGGTGCAAATCAAAAATATATTTATGATTTTCAGGAGTATTTTTGAAATTTTACATAATGAACTAAAAAAATATGTGGTAGAATAAAAAATCTTCAATTTTAAATATTAGCAAAATTGGTTTTGAAAATTATTATATTTTTTTAAAACAAGCTCCAAACATGTGAAATTTAGCATCCAGAAGATAAACCTAAATATGACCAACTATTTTGGGCATATTTTTTTAATTGAAGTGCGAGAATGTTACATACCACTATATTTAAATATGGCTCCTCTTAATTTTTGACAATAACCATATTATCCTTGTCAATATTTTTAACAATTAATGACGCACAAAAAACTGATAGAACAAATGAAATATTTAGTAGAAATTGGAAATTCAGTAGTGAATATAAAAAGTCCGGTATACAATTATACCAATTTCTTTTAAAAAAAAATCGGTGCATGAAAAAGTTTATCATTTTTTTTGAAAGATCTATTTTGTACTGGATTTTTTTTTTGCAAAACTTTTAAAAATCTAATAAAAATAACGGTATTTTAAAAAGCTCATCCATTTATCAAATTTTTAGAAGGGCTTAACAAATTTCGGTAGTTTAATTTTTAACGGATGAGATTTTCCACAATTTATATATTGTGATTACGCCGACAATTGTGTATGATCCATCATAAATTTAAACTTGTATAAATGAGTATCATGTGTTGTTAAAAATACATTTTAAAATGTTTCAATATTTATTTATGGCATATGTGTACTTCGAAAGAATGAAACTTCTATTTGATTTTGAGCTTTCGGAGGACACCACATATCTTGCTCTTCTGAGATTCAAATTAAATAATATGATGTTCAACACCAGCATTGAGAACAAAAAATGTGAGTAAGATTGATTTTCGTTCACTATAAATTAATACTGATTGGAAAGGTGAAATACAACCATATTAATGAGCTGAAGGCTGATGAAGATTTGAAGGTTATATGAAGAACATATAACCGCAGACTAATAAAAGGATCGATCGAGTTTGATGCGACAATTTTTAAATTGTCGACGACATAATCAAGATGTTGAAACTTCCAGAATCATCTGGTAGTGTCTAGGTTTTTATTATTGAGGCTTAAATAATATGAGTTTGCGTGTTTTTTATTTAGTCCCGTAATATGTATTTTTTTTAAATAGTCCCTGAATGTTAATATCTTTTTTTTTGGTTTTATCCTTCAAGTTAAAATCCGTAGGAAAATCTGCTGGAAACTTGCAGATTTTCCTGTGAATTTTGAATTTAAAGACTAAAACCAAAAAAATTTAACAAAGACTATTTTAAAAAAACACGGATTAGAGACAAATCAAAAAATCGCTAAATTACATGAACCAACATACTGTTTAAGCCTATTATTTATTATTGTTAAGTTATGTAATTGTATGTGTTAAGTTAAGTTAATTGTAATGCGTTAAGTTATGTTCATCTTGCAATAATGAAAGCGATGAAATCTAATAAACTGTACGATGAAAATGCCTGAGTAATAATACGCATAATA